GCGCTGAAACCTCGGGAGGAAGCCATAAGTTCTTTACCAGTAGTTGTCATCACACACACACACACACACACATGAACACAAGCACGCCTACGCACATAAATACGTACAATCTGTCGTGGCGACTAAATGGCAGAGAGACGTTTCGCAACAAACGCCAGAGCATTTGGAAGCAGGGGATTATGCTGTAGCTATGACCACATGTGTACATATGTGTGTTAGTGTGTATACCGGTCGCCGTCTCTTCGCAAAGTAAGCGATTCGGCTGGACTCGAGCCTCAGACCAGTCGAATCAGGCTCTGTCAGATAACCTATTTCATCTGCTCTCTCTCTCCCATCCCATTATTCGGCTCGCCACAAGGTTCGTCCGTAGGACATGCATGCAGACAGACAGACAGACAGACAGACAGACAGACAGCTTGCCTTTTTTTGGCCGGACGAGGGCTGAGCCGGGAAATAGTTTGCGCCAGCAATCCTTGCTTATTATTCCCTCTTTGTCTCTCTTTATCAGCTGTCTTTTGCATGGTATTGAAAACATGAAGTATTTACTCTTAACGCCAGTTAATCTGTTCCCTTCGTGTTCGTGACTAATTAGATTAACTGGCCATAATTTGTTTCCACTGTCGGTTCCACTGGCAGATCAACGAGACGCAGAAATGCCTCCTTCCCTGATTGTATTCAGTCCTTGCCATAGTACATACATACACATACACACACACACAGAGATAGGGACAGACGGACGGAGGTAGAGTGAGAGGCCGGCTCGTCTCGTGTTCATCTCGGCGGGGTCTGGCGTAATCTGGTTGATATAAGCGGACAGTTAATAGGGCCTTAGTTGCCTGCGTCTGTGGCTAAGGCGGGCCGGTACCTCTGCCGAATGGGCAAACGGGTTGGCGGGGCAACTGGCCGACTCGACCACTCATCAGCGCTACGAATGAGGCTGGCAGGTAGGGAGGGAGGGCTGGCAGAGACAGTCGTCTTGAGAGTGGTCCGAGCGGCGGGGCTCGGTCGTCTGGACGATCTGAG